GGGCGCGGGGCCATGCGGAGCCCGCGCTGAGGCGGCGCCGCCGCGGCCGCGCCTCGCCATGAAGCGGCAGAACCTGCGCACGGCCGCGCTCATCCTCTGCATCTTCTCCTACCTGCTCGTGGGCGCCGCCGTCTTCGATGCGCTCGAGTCGGAGGCGGAGAGCGGCCGCAAGCGGCTGCTGGAGCAGAAGCGCGGCGAGCTGCGCAGGAAGTACCGCTTCTCGGCCGCCGACTACCGCGAGCTCGAGCGGCTCGTGCTGCAGGCCGAGCCGCACCGCGCCGGCCGCCAGTGGAAGTTCGCCGGCTCCTTCTACTTCGCCATCACCGTCATCACCACCATCGGTGAGCGCGCGGTGCGCCCGGGCCCTGCATGCCCGCAGCCCTGCACCCCTAAAGCCTTGTGACCTCGCAGCCCTGCATCCCGATTCCTGCTGCCCCCACATCCCTGCAGCCCTACATCCCTGTACCCCTAAATTTCCATATCCCCCATTCCCCGCACCGCTGTATCCCCACATCCCTGTATCCCCACATCCCTGCATCTCTGCACCCCAAATCCTGATATCCCCACATCCCTGCACTCCCAAATCCATGAATCCCCACCTCCTCGCACGTCACTCCTCAAGCGCCAGATCCCTGCACCTTGCACCCCCCATCCTCACACCCTCAGCACCTCCTTGCCTGCTTGGGGAAGGCTGGGGTGCCCCTTCAGGCCACCCCTTGGGTGACGTGCAGGCACCCAGGGCCAGCAGGTGATTCGTGTTCTGGGGGACACCGGAGCGGCAGCGGTGGCAGGAGCTGTGACACGCGACACGCGCTGTCCCGGGCAAGGTGGGAGCCTTGGTGGGTTCAAGCGGCGCCAGCTGAGGAGCCTGCCAAGAAGGGTTTTGCATTGACAGTGCAAAACTYGGGATGATGCTTGCCTGTTCCATGGAGCCAGGACACTGAACCTTGCTCTGCTGGCGTGGTGACCCTCAGGGAAACTGCTGAGAATTTACCTTGGAAGGGAATGGTGGAATCACATTCAGTTCYCATGTAGGCGCCCTTACCCAGAGCAAAGCTCAGCCTTGACTTGATTTGCCGCTTTCTTTGGAACAGAATTAAAATTGAATAAGGACTGTTTTAATTCTAAGTGGCATTAGCGACATGGGTGTTTAACATGGCTTAATTAAGCCACTTAATTAATCCGTGCGCCCCGGGTGGGTAGGCAGCCCTGGGAGCCYGTGCTGGTGGCAGCCCTTGCGCCGTGATTTCAGTGCACAGACGTGTTTCGGAGGCAGCAGCCCAGAGGCCAAGTGCTGGCCTTGCCCCGACAGCAGCTGCCTCCTTGTCTAGGCTTAGGGATCCCGGAGGGCTGGGATTAGYCCTAAGGAAGGGTTTGTGATGGATAAACCATGTCCACTAGCAGAAAGCACCATATTTCAGAGCAGGAGCAAACACGGACTGGTGGGATCACAGTCAGGGTATGTTCAGCACAACGTCCCCACAGCAGGGTAAGATGAATGGCTTCAGGTAAAATCCCCATCATCTCGTGACAAGTTATGGCTTCATTTGCATTATCTTTCCATTGACTCTGACAGATACAAGTCACCTACACCAGGCAATAAATAATTTCAGCCCAGGTGCCATATTTCTCAAACCTTGGCACATGAGATCGCTTGAAATAGAGCTGTGCCCTGTGTCTCAGGTTTGCCATTAACACAGGGGTGTTCCCTTTGCCATTCTGAAGGCATCAATCAAAAGGTCTTTCAGGAGCTGCCTCTGATAAAACAGCCGCTTTTCCACTTACTGCTCTTCTGGATCATTATTTACTTCCTTGTTGCTCTCATAGTATTTTCCCATGTCTTAGGACCTGGTAATTACAATTAGTTATTAGGCTAACGATCTGGCTGGGATACTTTTTCGCCACTGCAGCTATGGGCCAGCTGTGGGTCCTCTGGCTTGCGAAAATTAGGTTGATCATGTTGGATTGTGTGAGTTTATAGACACAAACAGCATTTAGAAACAGTTCCCCCCTTGCATTGGTAGTAGCGAGAGCGGCGTGTTCAAGGGTGACTCTGTGTTTGGTCTCTCAGCCCTGTCCAATTGCAAGAATTTCCTGGAGTGGGAGAGGTGCTTGAGTGCCTGGGACAACACACGAATCCTCCTCTGATCTTTCCATCGCTGCATCCGAGCAGTTTCCCTAAAAGCCCTGGAAATCCACTCGCAGCAGAGGCATCGGCAAAGCCAAGTCGTAGCCTTGAATGAAACTGAGGAATAAAGAGTGCGTTTTTCCATGTTCYTCATGCAAAACTCACATGAAAACATGGAAGATGCAAAACGTAAAAGAGGTGTTTGCAAAAAGGCACCCAGCGGTGCAGGAAGGAGCCCTCGCACCCCACTGGGTGCCCCGAGGTGCTCTGCAAACACGGTCAGAAAGGAGGTTTCCAGTCCTGTAGTTCCTCCTACGGAAAGGACGGGATGCCTCCTCCGTCAGCCCCAYGCAGCGCGACTCCCTTGCACTTAGTTACTCATCCATTTAGGTCAGAGGCTGCTGGTTTTGGTTAAGCTTCACATAATTAAGCCAGGTGGGCRCAGCAATCCGGCAGATGTGGTGGATACTTCATTACGACTCACGGTAATTGTGCGAGTCCTTGAGTCACCGCTCCGAACCTCGGAACAACGCAGGGAAATTAAAACTGTGGAGGGGATGCGAGTGGGAGATGCTCCCTCCTCTTCTCTGGTGTCTAGGACAGCGCGGCKGGCAGAGCTGCAGGGGAGTGAACATTTCACTGGATTTAAGACAGGGCATCCCCCCCTCCTAGAGATACTCAGCAGTGCTTTAGGTCTGAGTCTTCTTGCAGCGATGCTGGAGAAGATCAGAAGCAGCTCTGCAGAAGTCCTCRCTTCTGCAGGGACCAGGCCTAAGTGACCATTCAACAGGCAACGCAATAAACTGTCACGCAGAAGAGAGCTGAGGATGCCCGACACACAGGAGGGCCAAGGAGGTGACCGGGATTCCCCCTGGGCACCCGTGGGTGGGACTGGGCTGGATGTGCCCCTTGGCGGCAGGATGACCCGTGGCCAACGTGCCATCATCCACGGTGATGTGGCCTCCCATGGCTCCGTTTAGCATCAGCTGGAGCTGCAAATCTGTCAGCGATTTAYTGTCACCGTGTTCTCCTCCTGCTGCTCTCGGCGGAGGTGCTTGCCAGCCCGGGGTAGCACTGCTAGCAACCCCGGAGCAGGGTTGATGCCCGCCTGTCCTCTTTGCCTTGCAGGTTATGGACATGCTGCCCCAGGCACCGACGCTGGCAAAGTCTTCTGCATGTTCTACGCGATCCTCGGCATCCCCCTCACCCTGGTCATGTTCCAGAGCCTGGGCGAGCGCATGAACACCGTTGTCAGGCTGCTGCTCAAGAAGATAAAGAAATGTCTGGGCATGAGGACAACCAACGTCTCCATGGAAAACATGGTCTTGGTCGGCTTTCTCTCCTGCATGGGGACCCTCTGCATCGGCGCAGCGGCCTTCTCTTATTTCGAGGGCTGGACTTTCTTTCATGCCTACTATTACTGCTTCATCACCTTGACCACCATCGGCTTCGGAGACTTTGTGGCTCTGCAGAAGAATGAAGCTCTGCAAAAAAAGCCCCCGTACGTGGCCTTCAGCTTCATGTACATCCTGGTGGGCCTGACCGTCATCGGCGCCTTCCTCAACTTGGTGGTGCTGCGGTTTCTGACGATGAACTCGGAGGACGAGCGGCGCGACGCCGAAGAGAGGGCGTCCCTGCGCAGGGCCCGGAACAACGTCCACCCGAGCCCCAAGGAGGGCGGCCGCAGCAGCAACGCTATCTTCCTCTCCGTGGAAGACAGGACGAGCCAGATGAACCTCATCCCGCTGATGCAGGAGGACGCGGAGCGGCAGCGGCGCCAGTCGGCCAACGCGGCCGCCAAGGTGCCCTCCTTCTGCACGTGCCTGTGCTACCGGCCGCAGCGGTGCGGCAGCCCCGTGCCCTCCCACCCCGAGGCCCTGGGCTGCCACACCAACCCCGTCTACTACAACTCCATCTCCTACAAAATCGACGAGGTCTCCCTGAGCACCAGGGGCCAGACCGGCTCTTCCCCAGGGAGCACCTTGTCGTCCAACAGCCCCCGCTGCCGGCAGCATTCCCGCCCGCGGAGGAAATCCATCTAGGAGCACGGGCTCCGGGCGGGCGCGTGCTGAGCCGTATCYGGCTGCCCAAGGCGTGTTTGGGTGATGAATTATTAACTGAGAAATCAGGTCACTGTTTTTGCTCGCGTTTCTGCTGTTCCACCCCGTTTTCAGCTGGCGGCAGCCYGCTCGGCACAGGGGCCGCAGGATCCTTTAGGCCCTGCTGATAAATAATCCTTCCGTTTTGCAGGACCGGCCAAACTGAATTACACATCGTTAGTTTTCTCTGCTTTTTCACCCCAAATGGATTCAAGTACTTGGCCCTGGCAAGAGGCCTCCATGCGATGTGGGATCCAGCACAGGGAGCGTTCGCTTTCCCAGGCAGGCTGCAGTGTCGCCTTTGCTGGAGGTGGCTCCTCCAGCCATCTCCATCGGCCATCCCTCCACAGCTCAGCTGTGCTAGGGACAGCGGGGAGGTGTCCTGAGCCGTATAAAGCCACCTGTGAAGCATTTGGCCCTGATTAGGTCATTAGCTAAACCCCTTTTTCCTTCCTCACCTGCACTTGCCCCTCTCCATGCCTGCACAAGCCCTTGGCTCCACGYGGGCAGTGCTGGGGATGGGGCAGTGGGGACCCCCCTGGTTGGGCTGCCCGGCTCCACCAGGCTCCTTCCACCCAGAGAGCCCRTTTTGGAGCCCGTTTTGGGCACCTCTGGAGCGCAGGAGCAGGTGCCGGCCCTGGCTCCTCACGTTGCCCTCACCTCCCACATGGCACATGCTCATCCCGGGCTCTGGTGGCAGAAGTTCCCTTCCACATTCCCCCCACCCTCATATTTTCACTCCTACTTCTAAGTAAAGTACCCCCAGGTGTTGTTTTTTACCTCCGGAGGAGGAAAATCCCCTTTTCCCAGCAGGAATGGTGTGCAGGGCACCAGCACCGCCAAGGCCTCACTGCAGGCTTTGCCTTTTGCTCTCGTTTCTTTTTGTTCTGGGAAATTTAATAAAAGGTGCAACCTGCTGGTGGCGGTGGRTTATTTGTCACAGCGGGGTAGCTGCACCCCACATCCCACGCTTGTCTGCAAGCATCCCTGGAAAAGGGGGACATTCCCAAGGATCACGGATACTCACTGTTATTTGGCATTTCTAGCGACCATGGTACACAGGAAGATGGGCCAGAAACCCCCTGCAAGCCCAGGCTCCCCAGCCTTGTTTTATTGTCCCTGTTAGCGGTAGCTGCAGCTTCCTGAGCCATCAGAGCCCCCCTAAAGCAGCCTCGGGCAGCGGTGCTGGTCTGTGGGGCCTGGGGCCTGCAGGGCCAYGTGCAGGCTGTGAGGAGCACGGGGCAGGACCAGAGAGCTCCCCATAACCACGTTGTCCTCYCTGCATCCCTCTAGGCCAGTGGCACCACCTGAGTGGCCCTGCGGCTAAGGGAGCCGGGGCAGCTTCTAGCTGAGGGTTCAGTAGTGAGAGGTCATTTGTCTCCTGGCACTGGTCACCTTTCCATGTGTCCTCCAACAGCGTTGGGCACCAAGAGACTGGGGGGAAATGGGCAGGAGTAGATGGCTCAGAGCYGGGCCCTGGGCCAGGTTTGAGCAAGGAGTGGGTTTAGCTCCATTCCTGGAAGTTCCTGCAGCCAGAGTTTGTCTGGAAAGGGGGGTTTCAAAGTGGGGTTGGTTTGGAGAGCACCCTTCAGGAAGGAGCTGGTTCCCAGTGGTGGTATCCCAGGTGGAGCATGTCCTGTTCCCGCTAGGTGCAGGGGGGACCTAGGGGCAAAATTCCCAGCTGAGAAGATCCCGTTAGCAACCCAGAGAAGGACCCAGGCCTGGAGCCTCTTTATGAAAAAAACCTCCACCACAAGCGTAGGAAAAGAAAAAGGTTTTATTATCGCCAACGTTTTCATTAGCTTAACACCGAATTGTCCATTGCCCCATCATTACATATGGTCTGAATAAAACCCACGGAGAGGAGCAGAGCAGAGCAGAGCCCTCCCGTCCCCGCGCGCCCGGCTGCCACCGCGGGAGGCCGCGCGCGGCCGCCTGCCCCTCTCCATTGCCTGTGTTCCTCACGCTCCCGCGGGGCTCCGGGCCGGGGCAAAGCGCCCGCAGGCTGCGCGGGGTGGCAGAGGCCCAAATCAGCAGTTGGGGGGCGCTCCGTGGAGCGGGGAGCTGTGGGGAGCGGCTAGGGAAGCGCTGGGACGGCGCAGAGGCCGGCTCTGCGGCGCGGGGCCATCGCCTGGCTGGGAGTAAGGCCTCGTGTCAGGAGAGAAGGGAAAAGCCGCCCAGGGCAGGGCTGGGAAGGGGAGCCTGGTGCAGCTCATCCCGGGCTCGCACTCCTCCGGCGGGATGGGATTCCTGCGGGGCTGCCTGGGCCTCGCGGGAGCCTCCTGGTCCTCGTGGTGCCGGGATGGGAGCCACATGGATGCGACTCGGGAGCGCGGTGCCGCGTGGCAGTGCTGTGCTGTGCGGGATACCCTGGATCCCCACCTGTCCCCAGGGCCAGGGACCTCGCTGCCGCCCCCGGCGCGGGGCTGGTGCCCACGAGCAGGGCTCAACRCCCTGCGGGGAGGAGAGTCACCCCAGGGAGCCCCCAGTGCCACCCAGGGCCCCCGCTATGGCGGGAGGAGGGACAGGCGGCTCCATAGGCCATCGCACCCGGCTGATGGGACAGACCCATCCCCGCTCCCGGGCTCTTATCCACCCTCCAAAACTCCCTCCTTCCTGCAAGCAGAGCCAAAAGGGCGTCCTGGTCCGGGAGACGGGGCTGTCGGAGCGCAGTGGCAGCACGGGGTGACAGAGCTAAGAGCCGCACGGGGTGTGCGGCGAGGCGGGCGCCGCCGGGCCGGCTGCGCGGGGAGCCGCAGGAGAACCAGCCCTGGCTCCTCCGCTCTCACTGCTGGTGCTCTGCGAGGGGCTGGTGCCGGCYCCGCCACAGCTCGGGCTGCTGAAGGGCAAGGAACAGAGAGCTACGAGAAACGCTCCYGGTGGTGCCTGCCCTGGGAAGGGAGCGCAGGAGGGCACCGTGCTACGGAGACTGCTGGAGTTTCTCCAGGAAAGGGGAGATGCTGCTCCRGGTGCACGGCCGGGGAGGGATCACAGCTGCAGCCAACACGGCTCACGAGGAGCCTGGGAGCAGCGCAAGGCTAAGACTCATGAGCCCCATTCTGAGGGTCCCTGCATGGGGAGGGTCTCGTGGGCAGCCCCCTGTCCCATGGGACACGCTGCTGGACAACACTCAGCCCCCGGACACGCGCTGGAGRGGCCGGGGTGCAGCAGGTGACAGCGCCAGCCCGGGTGGCACCAAGGGCTGCGCTTCACACGAAGGGTGTGCAGGGGCCGAGCGCCCGTGCGAGGAACCAGACGCTCCCCGCACCAGCAACCAGCCCCGCCAGAGCCATCTCACCTCCCTTGGGACTCCCCGCGTCCTCCACAGCAGTACTGGGTGGTGGGTGCCCCTMTATACTCATACAGGCACAAAGAGAAGCACTCATGGGCAGGTGCGCGCTGGGGTAAATAGGAAAGACTTTCAGTAATTTTCCCTTTCTAAATATTTGGCTCTAATTTGGCAGCTGCAATTTCACTTTAGATGCTCACTCCAGATCTGATAATGTCCCTTTGCATTAYTGAAGATGCTGTAATGTGCTTTTCCTGGAATTATATACGACAGCGCTTTGCATTTACACAGCTCTCTTTATTCTCAAAGCATTTCACAAATAGCCATGGGGTTTCACTGTTCATCTGGGCTTCTGGCCTCGCATGGCCAGTGCCACCAGGGTCTGCACGGGCAGCAGACTGGCAACCTTGAGAGCCAACCATGGGCAAGAGCGTGAGAAATCCACAGGCAATGAACGGGGATGCTGTTTTGAAGCTCTTATCTTTACGCACTGCATGAGTGATGGAGCTGACTTAAAATCTGGAATCTTGATCCTGCCATTTTGGACAAGTCTTTAGATGAGGCCAGCATTAACTAATTTTCTGAAGAAAATGGTCCAGAACAGCCTGTTTTACACATCAGTCCCACGTTACACATAGCGAAAGTGCATTCTCTCCACCTTGGGTGGAATTTTCCTAACAAAATGGCTAAATACCATCTATGAAGCAGACAAAATAACCCACGAAGCCTGGAAAYGAGCAGCTCAACCTGCTGCCTCCGAAAAAAAATGCCCTTTAGCTGGCCCTGGTCTCCCGAGCAGCACGGGCAGCGGCCAGGCACGACTCGTGCAGCCCCCGAGGCTTTTTTGCTTCATCAGGGCTACAGTGGCAGTGGGAAACACTCGCACTGAGTTACAAATACTAAATAGCCTAAGAAAAACAGGGAGACTGAAACAGTCAGGAAGTTTATATCGAAACTACTTGAACTCTGTCGTATGAAGTCACCTACCGCCGCTTCGTTCTTCACCTAAGAGACATTTCATGTCAATGGGCGTAAATGCTCACAGACGAGTTCATACAATGATTATTTCTTACACAGCAACAGCCCAATTTCCATTTCTTACCATCATTTCGAGGTGAATATGGATCGGTTTCAAAAGTGATGTCATTTGAGATCGAAGACAATTATAAACTGTATCAACAATATGTACTACAGCCTGCAAGTCACAATCTGTGCACACCAAATGGAGTATATTATTGCTTGTTAGCCTATTAGACTTTCTTTATAAAAAGATTTTTATACAGAGTACAGGATTATGACAAAACTAGCTAAGTAGTTTTCATCTTGAAAATACAACATCAATTTTCTTTTTCAACAAAGGTTGAGTAGTAGCTGAGATTTAATGAACAATAACAAATATTTCTTAATAATTTTATGGTCAGTTTGAACAGAGCTTCCTATAGGACTCTTTTCTGGTGTTTATTTACATATGCCTCTTTTCTTTTGGAAAAAAAGTTGATAAAATATAACAAGGAATATATAAATCAAAAGAATGAGTAAACTTCATACCAAGAACATTAAAGGTTTCTGAAAACACTAAATTATGTTATCTGTTAAAAAACATACATCATCTTGTCTTTAAAGAAAAATATTTTTCCTGTTTTAAAATATTACTAACAGCATGTAATAAACTAACTTAAAATGAGTCTCATAAAAAAGTCGTCTTGCTGTCTAAACGTTACTAAACATGCTTAGGTTGAGATCCTGTTAACTGCCTCAACAGCTTAAAAACAGCTCCTGAACAGGAACTTGTGATATTCTGACTCCAGAAGACCTGCAAATTTAGGACAGTACATTGATAAAGGATGCAGGAGCTAGAAATATTCAATATCTATCGCTGTTCAAACGGCGCTGCGGTCTGGGCTAAGCAGCCCGCGGCCGCCGAGAGGGGATGCGCTCGGCTAAGAGCCCGGCGCCGCGGAGCCCGGGACACGGCCCCATGGAGTCCGGGACACGGTCCCATGGGACACAGCGCTGTGAAGCCCAGGACACAGTCCCATGGGACACAGCCCCAAGACGCCGTCACAGGGCCATGCTGCGATGGGGTAAAGGGAAAGCAACACCAGGAGACTGGGAAAGCGGCACGTTTTTCATTCCCAAGGGTTTTCCGCTCTCCGTGAGCCCCAGGAAACCCTGTTGGGGAAGGATGGTCCTTGTCACAGCAGCAGGGCTGCCTCCCATCCCGTATCAATGGACATTTAAAGCCCTGCTCTCCATTTCTTTTCCAAGCAGTGCTCCCGTTCCTGCTGGAGGGCAGTATTTCCTGCACAGGGAACAGGGAGCCAACCTTGAGCTGGGCAGTCCTCAGCCTCATCCCTCCCCAYCACCCACCGACCCAAAACACAACGTCCTACTCTCAGTCTCCTGCTCTTCCTCTCTCTCCCCCTCCCTGATTATAAATAACAGCTAGATTCAGACACATAAAAAACTCCGGACTTCTAAAGGGGACCAAAGTTTAGTTTTCAGCTGCCCGTTGCTTAGCAAGCTGCTGCTTTTTACATGACTGGTGATTAAAATAATCAGCAGATCACCTTAGACAGAAACTGGCCAGGCAAATTTCTGAAAAAATGAAAATAAAAAAGAAAAAGGTGGTATAAATACAAGTTTTTCCTAGCCTGAGACCTGCCCTGGAGGTTACCCTGGGAATCTTTAAACTGACAGAGAGCTAAAAAACTTCCTCTATTTTTTTTCCTTTGTTCCCTCCTTTTTTTGAGCTGTAGCTCACCACAGTGGGTGCAGGAATCATGGGGATGATGAGCAGGAGGTCAGGCAGGACACGGCAGTGAAAGGCCGCCGGCCTCCACCTCCGGGCGCTCTCCGAAGCGTTCCCGGCTCGTGGAATCGCCGCCCGGGCGCGCTGGCGGCAGCGCCCGCGCTCCGCACGGCGCCAGGGGCCCCTCCTGCCCGACCCAGCACCCGCGGGCGGCTGGAACCCACCGTGCAAATCAGCAGGCAGGAAAGGCAGGAGGAAACAGCCCAGGATGGGACCGTGGAAACTGCCTCCGGATCCCAGGACTTGAGAACAACACAAGCCACAGTGTAGCCTTTAACCTGACACTGAACTTGGAGGGGGACTTGGAACATACAGAAGATAGTGCTCAATAAATAGTCTTATTTGAACTGAGCTCATCAACAAGCTGGCAGGGATTTTGGAGGGGTTGGACTCATTGCATTTGCTAGGCAGAGAGCAACTKGGCTTTTCAAAAGAGGAGAGTCATTAAAGGAAGTTTTCTGAGGGGTTTTTTGGCATGTATAGTCTCCTACTCCCCATTAAAGACTATAAAAATGTTGCATTTGTATTACAGGACACAGGAAAAACATGATTGACTAGATATTACAGGTAGATAATGTCCAAACAAAATACCAATATAAAGTTTTTAACAGACAGAACCCCTGTTACTCAGTTAGTAGGTTTGGAATGTATCTGTAGTTCCCCACAGTCCTTTTAAAGACATAGTTAGTAAAAGATCCAGTGCTACAAACCACTAAATCTACCTAATCTATTCTAGTTCATACATATATTGTACAATATTGCCTAGTACTCACTACATACCAAGAGGAAAAGATGCTGACTTGAATTACAGTAAATGTGCTTTTCTTTAAAGAAAAGAGAGCCACAACATAGTTTGATCGGCATGCAACAAACTTTTCTTCAGTTAATATATAGAAACTGCCTTAATACTATTAGAAAAAATAATTAGTGAGAGGCCAGAGACATATTTGATCAAGGAAATTAARAGATTTAACAGAAATGTTGAAGCTTTTGCCATTTAAGACTCTAAAAATTTTCATTCTATGTCCCTTCTCCATTTATAATATACCATTTTTTTTTACAGAGACTATTATAAGGCCTATTATATTTGCATCTATCTTGTAATTTACCTCAAAATAATTTAAAATGCCATAGACAAGCTAGAACCAAAAGCAACTTTGACCATCCACTCAACATTCATGCTTTTATTCTACCAAAGCTGAGGCCCACGCAGTGATGGGTCAAGAATCTAACTGCTAAACGTGACATGGGACCCTGACTTTTAAATCACTAAGTAAAACACTCCCAAAAGCTTATTTTGGGATAATAGTCATGAAATCCTCATGAAAAATTACAATAAAATCTAGCAGAGAAGGTCTGCTGACAAGGAATCTTGGAAGATTCGCCGTTATTTTGGATAATAAGTGTTTTCAGCCAAAAGGTTTTAGCAATTGGAAGGATTCAGCACGTGACAGCAGCCGYCACAGCTCGGCGTCGCAGAGAACGTGCTTCACTGGGTTAACAGACACGACTTCTTTATAGCTAGTGCTGCGCTTAAATAAAATACACATGCTGTGACCATCGTGTCTTCTGATGCCCCAACCACTACCACTCCATACTTTGGGGATGGCTTCTCCTTTCAGGACACTTGCCAATGCTTGGACTACTGAGCACTAAAGCAACCTCTTTTGCTTTCTGCAAGGAAGGTTATTTGCTCTGCAGTACCCTCTTGTCAGATGATAAACAGGTTTCTCTCCCCTGCACCCTCAGAAAACTCAGTCTCCTTTCCTGTGGTAGAGTAGGACAGTCCCGTTCCAGTCCATAGCACAACAGAAGGGCAGCATCTCCAGAAGATATGTACTGGTACAGAGGAGATGGATGGAAAGCAGGAGGTAGGAGACATTGCGACTGAAGGACGCACGGCGACAAGAAAGGGAGCCAGCAAATCCCAGCACGTTGCATCCAACAACATAAATCTCAAGCTGCAAGTGTGATGTTCAACTCCTAGTACGTGTTCTGAGCAAAACTGCAGCTAATTCGCCTGCTAAACTCAACTTCTGCTCAAACTGCCTGGTCTAAGTAGGCTCTACTTACTCTCCCACCAAGTATGCTTCATCAGCAGTGTTAGACAGGTAATGCAGTAAAGACACTTGCTGGTAGTTTGGCACAGTTTGAAAACACAGCAACAACAGTTTTACAGGTAACATGATTCAGTGGTGTGGGTTTATACTAGAGAAAGAGTTGCAGTTTTCCTACTTTTCTTTCTTTCAAGAAAAAAAAAGATCTCCCCAAACCATCAGGGTTTCTCTTACACTTTCTGCTCCTGTTCTTTTTTAGGTCAGATATTGGCTTCTGAATTTTTCAGGTGCTACYAGATGGAGCCTGTATTAGAAACTTGTAAAATACAAAGTTAAGAAACAAATACCTTTCTTACTTCTCCTAAAACACTGCAACTTTCCAGAATTAATACTGATCTGAAACAAGGGTCCAAGAATGACAGTGAGAGAAGTGAAACAAGAGGTGTATGTCTAMTTTGACAACTAGGACTCATGCCCCATGGCACCTCCTCCTTGGATGGAGAGGGCACTGCGCCCTCCCCCTTGTCTTCTGTCTAAGGTCACTGGTTTATCCTCCTCTTCCAGCTCCACAAGAACTGATTGAACATGCATCGCGCTTGAGGTCAGAGTTCCAGCAAACAAAACCTTGACAGCATGTTTAAAAAACAAAAGCAGTTCCCCCTTCCTTACTCACTAAGACCTGTCACAGCAGGGTCCCACTGTGCTCTCCAAGGAAAGCTGTGAGGACTGACGCAGGAGCGGGCCTGTAGTGGGATCCACCATGGAGGAGGTCGGGAAGAGCTTGTACCAGCCAATTGCTAAAGTTGACAAATCCAGTTCTTCCAGGAGCACCCTGGCGACTCCCATGAAGTGCTTGCGCTCCATGCGTCCGTAGTTTCCCCACACTATCACCTTCAAAACAAGAGCGGGGCACACGGTTAATTCTCGGGCTTGCACCCTTGCTTTGGCAGCACAAGTCTGATCAACCCTTCTAGCCCCTCTTTTGCTCCTATTCTTTCAATTTATTCAACTTCTCTGACTTTTAAAAGGCCATCCATGTTCTACACAGTGCAGGACACCACTCCTCTGTATTGGAGACCAGTCAAACACATTAATTTAAATGTGCCCTTATGTCCCAGAATAAGAGGGCCCAAGATGAGCAGAAATCCTTCAATGGGTATGTGCTGGGCTGTCAGTGATATGAAGCTTTGGCCAGGGGCTTTGCTTTTATTTTTTTCATCTGTTTTACAGATCCTTGTATTAGATATTTTTCCCAGAAAATAAAAGAGCTGGAAGCCTGTGTGGATGSAAGCTCCGTCCTGCTGTTCTACCACAAACTGCCGCACAGGATCTGAGTACGCACAGAGCCTCTGTGTCCATTCTGGCTTTAGATTTAATCCTCCTTCCACTGCATCTGCAAAAAGCTCTGTCATGTTGCACAAAGCCAGGCATAAAACCTTTMATTTCCCCATCTATAAAATGGCAACAATGATCATTTCCAAGTCTATTATCTTTGTATCTTTAGACCAAAATCCCAGAGGTCGCTTAATAAAGTGACCTCTGGGCTTGGACTGGGAAAAGGCCCCCATGTGAGACCGCTCTGTAATCTTCTCACCTCTAAATCTTGCATTACATTTTGCAGTGTCTCCACGCAGCTCCACCAAAGCCTCTGGGCTCTTACACACAGCATGCACGTGCAATGACAGCCGACAGGAGAAGCAGTCATTTCAAAGCAGTGCTGGGCAAATCCAAACATTTTATTTTGTTGAACAGAATCGACTATTTCCCCCTGGGTCTGTGCAACACAAAATCCTTCCAACCACAGAAGCTCACAGCAGGGCTTGCTAGTGAAACACACCGTGCATGAGGAGAGCAAGGCAACCACGATGGTTTCCAGAGCTTTATCTCCTGCTTTGGTGTGAAAAGAATCATTGAGCTACTGCAATTTCCTATACAAGAAACGCTGATTTTTCACTCAGTTCTAGCAGCTGCTATTTTTATGCAGTGTGATGGGACAGGCCATTTCAGATATGAAATTCTTGACAGTTATTTCTTCACAAAATTTATTTTCTTCCTGGAATTTTCTTTAACGAAATCTCCAAGTTGCAGATTTAATACATCTGCTTCACTCCATCTTGAAACAGATTCTTTCTGCTGGAGACCAATTTACTGCCTGTGTCAGAACAGACAAGTGATCTGTGACTCTGGCATCTATCTAGGAGCACAGTCAGGTTCAATATTGCCCTTTCTTTCTTTTGATTCAGCATAAATTTGTATTTCAGGACTGGAACTGCAAATGCTGGGTTCAAAGGCACAGTCTCCTTCATTTTTCCTTTTTTTTTTTTAATTAAAAAATTTCAGCTCTCCTAAATTTTAAGTCTTTTTGAGAGGTGGAGGTGGGTTTTGTTTTGTTTTTCCCATAACATCTTCTGAAGTAAGAGCAAACTGTGACCTGAATACTAGCAGGGGAAGGACTCCGGCTATTCCTGCTGGAATCAATGAAGTGAGCACTCTACACCCTAGCAGTGATAAAGGATAATGTAACGATTCTCAAACCCCACATTTCCTCGGGATAAACCAGACCGTTTACACTAATACCCCGCAAAATTTCACTGTGTTGTCAACTGAAGCCAGTGTGCCCACATTTGAAGTGATCAAAGGGAGAACGTTAAGAACAAGGATTCTGGTTCAAAAACTGATCACAAACCTGCTGCTYGCCCCCATCATGCACAGACACCCCCAGAGCTGCCACTCCAGCACTCTCAAGCAACTCCTGACATGACCACAGGCCTCAAACACAACGAGAGGCAAGAAGTGGCCTGCAGGAAAAGGGCAGGGAAGGCCCTTGATCGAATTTTTTTTTTTGTTGGTACAAACCAACAAAAAAAAAATGGTGGGCAACAGCTTGGTCAGGAGCCAGGAGCTTGAGGAACAGAGCAGGTCCTACCTGCTGCCTTCAGACCTCGTGACACATGGCAGATGGCAGGGAGACATGGTTACTCACCTGGAGAAAGGGCAGGAGCTGAGCACTGGCAAGCGGGAGTGGTGACGTAAGGGGCACACATGGAGTGGCATGCGGGGAAAGCAGAAGGGGCTGCCCAGAGAGGCTTCAAGTTGCAGAGGAAGGTCAAATGAAAGAGCTGGCACAGACAAGCAGGGAGAGCTGAATCACACTTACGACATGATGGAGACCAGTGGGTGGAACAACAGATGTAGTGAGGGTCATGGGCTTAAACATGCTGGAGATCTGCACATGACCAAATGGTCCTACGTGGTTCAAGACAAAGGTGACGCCTGACTCCAGAGCGAGTCCGTGTTCTGAAGAGGAGAAGATGAGTATGATGGGTTATGAAGGTGACCAGTGATCTTTGGCTAATCCTGACAGCTATTTTTCCCYTAAGCTCAGAACATTAACATCATACTTTGCTGTAAAGTGCAGTAGGAGAGACAATAAATGCCAATTAAAAGCCAAAAATTAGCACTCTAGGAGCTGGCATGGGATGGAGCAAGGCACTGCTGAAAGCTGGTTTGGTGGCATACCAATTAGCAGAGAATCATCCTCCTGATTTTATTTTGAGTAAGTTCCTTTGAATAAGTTCCAACGAGACACTGAAATTAGTCTTTAAGACAAACTGAAAGATGTAAATAAACGGAGTGGGGAAGGGCAAGGCAGAACTGCAGAGGGGCAGGCACAGCCCCAGCCCTCTCTGCAAGGGGATCGACTGCSCATTATCACCAGGACTGCTGCAAAGGTAAAGACATGGTTAGGAGACTGCATGGGAGCCTCACAAGGGACAGCATTTTGATGGCCTGCTTCTCACTTTCTGCTCTACTGCTCATCAATACCCAGCACTGAGGCAAGGTGAGGGCATTTCTCACTACCTCATTGCCCAGGTCTGGCGAGAAAAGAAAGGCTGTGGCAAAGACTTATTTGGGGTGGCAGAAGCTGAAATGCTGGCCCAAGACAATGCTGGATACACCCAGGAGACCTTTTCCAGCAGCAGCTGGGGCTGAACATGGACACTTCTTGCAAGCCACCCCTGAGAGACCCAGCTGCTCACCTCTCTGAATCAGAGGCTGATGTTATGCTTCACATACAGCCTCCCTTCCAACGCTCTTGGATCCCTGCCTTGTTGAGGACAAAATCGATAGTTCTTACCGTCTCCAACGACACTCTTAACAAGCTAATTTTATGGTACCTTAGACTGCCTGTCTCCCTCCCTCCTGTGTCAGCAACATYGCTGAACTCCAGAGAGAAGTGAGGATGAAGGTCCCCTTGGCAGCAGGGCTGCAGCTAAGGGAACCCACAGAAGAGCAGGCAAAACCAGGCCCTGCTACACTGCAATCCAAAACACACACTCTGTCTGCATCCTTTCATGAGAAGGATTCATCAGGTTGTCTCCCAATTCATATGCCAATGGTGGTTACGCAACAGAAACTCACAGCTTAGTTAAAGCAGAATTACCACTGGATTTTGGCCAGGGTTTACTGGGTGCAAATGATTCTGGAATGAATTAACACCACAAATCACTTTTTCCTATGGAAACACAGAATTGAAAATGTAAGCAGTATGGCAGAAAACATACGGGAGTAAAAGAGCAAAGGTAGAAAGAGGTAAGATATGTGATTGCATGGTGACACAGCAGAGTGCTCTAAATACACACAGATGCAGGAGGCATCCTGTGAGACTGTTTAGCTGCTACACATACTTTCTATCTCCTAAAGGGGAAAAAAAATCAATCTTTTCCTGGTGGACACTCCTGTTATCTGGCAGGGTGCCAAATAGGGATCATTTCTGGCATGAATAAAGCTCTTCCTTCCCATTGCTATGTTTAGATTGAGTGCAGTTGGTCCAGTGAAAGCACTAACATGTTCTCATCAGTGCTAGCTCTCCAGATCCTTCACCAGACTTAATATATTCCAGCAGAGGTAGAAGACAAAGAGGAAGACCTGAGACTTGCTTGTCTTACCTGTAATACTTTGCCCTGGGGGCTCTCAGGAAAGAGTAACACCTGATTGTACAAAGGGTCTAATGATTTGCGAGCCACTTTTGTCTTCTTTTTCGCAATGCACACGCCATTCTCTAGCAGGTAAGCTTTGATGTAAGCAGCTGGAAAAAACAAATACGGTCAAATATGAAAGAATCTTCATGCTCACTTTAGAAAAGACAGTGTTCTTTCTAAAGACAGCGTTTAGGGCAATGAAAAGACTGGCTCAATCAGCCTCATTTTCAGCACCATATACAGACACAGCAGCTTATTCCCACACATGGCAAGCGTACCTAACTGTACCTATTTGAAAGCTTCACAAGAGGCTCAGTGATTTATTTCAGGTGGTCCAAGCACATTACCTGGCAGGGTTTTGGAGCCGGGTTTCGGCGTCAGCCCTCGGGCCTGAATGATATCCACTTCTAGCTGCCCATTTCGCTCTTGCAAGCCAATTTCCACATCCCCTAAACCAAAATGCCAAAATAGACAACAGATTTTCAAAAAGAGGCACCTATGAGTTTATATATATATATATATATATATATATAAAATATGTATTTAATAGCAATCCTCATGTCATGTCTGCTCTGAGCTGTGACAAACTGTAGGCCCCGAGTGCCTCATTTCGTCCTGCCTTACTCTGGAGCAGCTCTGCAGTGATTCAAGCCCACGTTTCCAAAAGCAATCTTTAATATCAGCCCTCTGACATGGCTCTGGTGACTCAGCCTCATATTCTTCAGTGACAGCTAACCTCTAATTCCTCCCCAAATAAAGCACCTAGAACTGCAGGCTGCTTTGGAAAATGCAGTTATGGGCACCATAAGAAAATCTCTGGAGAGTCTGGTGGGACTTAGCAAGAAGAACACGGAGATGCACAGAATGCATTGTCAGGATTTTACCTAATCTGTGCTTTTCAGATCTGACAGAAGAAAGCTGGTATTTGCCTGCTAATACCATATTAGCAGAAATCAGCAAAACCTCTCAGCCAGGCTTATTTAATTTAACTGAGAAATTGAGCTGGGAAATGGCAGAGCAGCAGATGCTGGACACGTTATTAGKTGGCTGGTAATAACAGTCAGTTGCGTATCAAATTAAAGCCACCTAACAAACATCTTTGTGTTCCTTACCCATGGAGGTGGTGGCCAAGGTCTGACGCCCGACGAACTGCGCAGGGCCCATGCTGCCCAGGAAGTCGCTAAACTGCCCAGCAGATGCCAGATGGACTCCGCTGAAATTCAAGCTGCAAAAGAAATTGTATTTGTCGAGTGGTTAATTTGCATTTTAAAGCAAGCTAGTAATTAAAGAGCCTCATTTGACACATCTTGGAAATGAATGGAACCTACAGAAGCCTCTTYCCCTACAAAACTCATTGCTTCCCTGGCAGTCTGGTTACACAGGATCCATTTAAAGTCCTTTTCCTTGTACAAAATACATACATACAGGTTCCATTCACCAATTAGTTGATATTTGTTTATCTATAATTAATTACCTATAAGGAAACTTAATCTTTTGGAAAGGATTAAGACATCTAGAGTAAGAGTCAAAAGTGAGATGAGGGGAGCTGACAGGAGTCCCCGTCGGGGCAGACAGCGCCTTGCTCCCCAGTGCAGCGCTGCACAACTGGGATTTTGTCACAGGTCAGGGAAAAACCTGCTGCCCCAACAGGTGCTAATGGCCAAGGCCACCATTAGACACCTTCATTTGTAATGTGGCACCTACCACACTGTGACACATCAAAGGGTTTGTGCCAGGGATGGCTCCGTGGGTGCGCTGGGTCTCACTCTCTTCCTCCCACAGAAGTTGCTGCCCGTGGATGTTAGGTAAAATTTCAAACCTCCTGCACTTTTCCAAATGTTCTTGGAGGTGGGACAATTACCAACATAATCATATAGCTCACTGCTTCCCAAAAGGCATTTCTGAGAAACAGACCCACGAGGAGGGCCAAACACTTTTTCCACTTACCCTCAAATGGGTACAAATGAGCTCAGTGAGAAACCTGCATCCGGGGGGCGCTGGGCTCACACGCACACAGCCGACTCCGCCACAAAGATTCACTGATTCCCTCTTGCAAGGCATTTACATTTAAAAGACATTTAGAGGATTTCGTTATGATCCCATTCAGGCAGAATGGTGCTAATGCCAGGTTGAGCTTTCAGCTCTCATTAGCTATTCCCAGAGCCGTCTCAGCCTGCTGGGAACGTTCCTTTATCCGGAGGAGCGACGAGGAAGCTGGCGCACAGACCTGGGCATCGCACCACGCACGTGGCTCAAGGGGCACGTCACAAACGCGGAGACAAATGACAGGTTTCCAGGACAGCTCCCTTCATGGAGAGGGGCCAATGAATGAAATAACCAGCTTTTCCCAAGAGGGAGATCTGGCCTGATCTGCACGCACTGGGATGCCTGGGAATTGTGGCATGCAGCAAGCTGGGAGTGCTCAGCACACAAATCCAGCCCTCGAGCTCCTCAACAGTCTCCCTTGTGCGCAACGGAGAAGTCTGGAGCCTGTCTTGGCATCCTGGAAGACGAAGGCTTGGGATGGATCCTTTGCACGGGAAGGGTTTTCCCTAAAGCCTTCTGGCAGCCAACCCTTCCTGGTGATGCTGATAGGTACAAGGAGCAGCAGGACCTGCCTGTGCAGAAGGGCTGAGCCCATGAGGGGCAAACGTGGGTCTTCCTCCCAGCCCAGGGAGGACAAGACCTGCAGGAACACGTCAATAACAAGCTGACAAGACACAATTTGGAGCAGTTCAAGAGAAACATTTGCTGCTCAGCTAAAAGCAGGTGCTTGGTCTCATTAAGAAGATGCCTGGGATGGGAATAACAGGTGGAAACTCCAGGGACCGGAGGCAGTCCCAAACATACCCAGAGCTRGGGAGAGCTTCCCAAGATCCAAAGGCAGAGCACATGGTGGGTTATTGGAGTGCAAACCAGGAGGGAAATCRTCCGTGGCCTTGCAAGCAGCAGCTGAAGCAGGGAATGTTTGTCAGTGCAAAGCAGAGAGCGAGGGCAGAACAGAGGAGATGCTGCAGGGATGTCAGGACTGTGCCTGGAAACACGACACGCTTGTCCACATGCTTGCAAGGAGAGGAACCGAGCAGCTGGAACAAATGGAGCTGCTCTTGCTTTGCAGCTCTGAGGCTGTTTTTTTGAGAAAARTCCATCCAAAACCAGATGCCAAGGTCAAGGCTCAGACAGTTCTCAGAACGGCTTCAGTTCATGGGTTTATTAGCACTACATGAAACTCAAAATTACTTTAGTTATTTAGTGTTCCCTGTTATTGTTAAATTTGGCCAGGAGAAGATGGAGGGAATTAATTCTTTGACAGACTCTGCCATTAGCTGGCGGAACTCACTGCTGCTTTGCACAGAGAAGGATCTCTTGCCGTGCTGCTTTATCAGACACCAGAAGCAGCAGCTCTGAATGAGGCTCCTAGGCTTGGATCCTGATCACATACCTGGATACCGCTAGCAAACCTGGAATGGAAACACTTTCTGCCTGGAAAATCTGAGTCAAATCCATGAAAGCTACTGCTTCTCCCTGGAGAGGCAAGGGAGAAAATAAAACTGCAGAAACCTAGCAGGCATGCAAAGAGGAAGGAAAAAAAACCATATCAGGAATTATGCAGCTACACTGGCCAAATTTCAGCTGCTCAGTGTTGCTCATGGAGCTRCACAGGTCAAATGCTCACTAAGCAGCACGAGGGCAGCCCATGGTGCGACCCGGACGCCAGGGCCCATYGTTGCTCTCATGGCTCATTTGTTCRTCCCGCTCTTCCCACATGGGAAGCAGGCAGGGAGGGAGCGCAGCCACACACAGGTTTTCACACACAAAAACCTCAAATGCCTTCTTTGCTTTGCACCATCTAGGAGCCAGGCACTGTTTGCAGGTTCAAACATTCAGAGCTTCTTCTTTCTCCCTGCCAGAATCACTCCACCTTAAGGGAAGGAAATACTGCAACCTGATTAGCACCAAAATGGTACCTTTTCTTTTTTTTCCCCTGTCTTTCAATCCAAAAAGAAGCACTAAAAATAACGGCAGGAATAAAGAGGGAGCATTTTCACAGCTGACTTGCAAATAGCAACTGTCATAACTAGCAAGGCCCTGGGGACCGGGGCTGTTGCTGCGGTACCATCTCACACTGACAAACAGCGGCAAGCGGAGCAGATTAACAGGTGACACTTGTCAGCCTGGGTCTAAAGGGCACAGATTCTCTGCAGCACAGCCTTTCCACCAGGAAAGAGAAATTAATTATCTCTTCTCTGGCCCTCTGCATTCACTAATGATGATTCACAGGCTCTGTTTTGCCCCAGTTGAATTAGGATGAATTCAATGCAACTAAAGGCTGTGGTTTTGGCTCGGTTTGCTTTGGCCTTTGGCTGTGTTATTGACCTGGGGGTGAAGGTGAGAAGGTGACCAAAGGGCGGATTGACTCAGCGGTGTCAAAAATGGCCTTTAAATAAGGAGAGAAACAAAACTAGGGCATCAGCTTCAAGACAGCTGGGAAGCTGCTGATCCTGGGGCCTCCAACACCATCAATGTGGGTCTGGGCAGAGTGGCAGCAGCAGGAACCTCCGCTGGCATCGGCTGTGTCAGAGCAGGAACCAGCAGCGCCCCAAGGCTCAGCCCAGGCTGCCCCATCCTCCGGAGCTGCGCAGGCAGAAGAGCCATTTCAAGCCGTTCCTGGTACCTGAGCCCTTCCCAGCTCATCCGGGCATCAGAGCATYGCGGCCGCAGCGGGAGGCGCCGGGGATCGTGTCCATCGCTGCACTCGCGTGGACACCCACGAGAGGGAGACAGGACCCCGCGGCTCGCGGGGCTCCGGCCGCCCGCGGGCGAGCGCATCCCGGTTCTCACTCCCCATTTCATCCACCCATTGGCCTAGATTCTGCCTCCAGCCATCCTATAAACTGTGGGGAAGCTGGTGCTGAGACCCCTTAGCTGGTGGTTGGGTTTTTGAAACCCACATTCCTAATCCTGATTCTTTAGGAGACGCGCGCAGGCTCCAAAGGCCRTACCCTTGGGCTGCAGATGCTGTAAGGTCAGTGCATGCAAAATCTGCTCTTCCTGGAACAATTTAGGAGCAGCTTAAAGGCCCTTCTCCGTCCGTCCGGATTCTCTGTTCTTTGCTGGCAGTGCCATTCCCTGCTCCACACACTGCAAAACACATGCCCTTCTCTTCTGTGTTCCAACCTGCACCCGGTTGGTTTCTTCACCCTGAGTCCACCCTTCTTTAGACCTACTCCTACTGAGCGCTAGTTTTCCAAACCTCTCTTGAAAAACCAATCTCATTTTGAATACTCAGTCAGAATACTGAATAAGGGATGATGCTGATTGCCATGCAAAACGGCTTAAGAATCCAGAATACCTGTTTGATCCTTCTCATACCATGCTCAGTTGCTTCCTCACACCCAGCTGTTGCTCGCTGCATTAACATGCAGAGCACGTAACAGCACAGACACATTTAGGGAAAATGTATCATTAATTCCTTTCCTCATCCATGTGGAGTTTGTGTGACCTCTTTACAGATCTATTTTTAAATTGCTGCTGGGCTGCTCTACACCAGGTACTATCATCCTGCTGCTGCAAGTGTCTGCAGATCCAGCCCACCAGGACACTGCAAACTGGCACCAAGGAGGGCAAGGAGGGACCTGCACAGGTCGCCTTGCTCACACGCTGGCCCCAAGAACAGATCAGCCTCTTCTACGTTGTTCATGACAGATGTTTGCCACATTTTGTACTTACAAGCCCTCCAGGGATGGGGATACCAAACCTTCCCTAGAAGATGCATCTCTGTGCTTTACTACGCTATTTTCTTCCTTCCAAATCATCCTTTTCCAGTCTTTTCCCTTCACACGTCATTCCTCACAATCATTTGAACATTGCCTAGTCAAAGGAGAGGCCAGAGTACTTTCTTCTGCCTTTGCCACAGCACTTTTTAAATCCATCTCTCAAGACCTTGTATCAACCTGTAGCTGCCAAATATCTGCTGCGAGGTCTGTGCAGGACTCTGGAGCAAGACACCCCGTTCCCTGCTCCAGCCRGGAACGGTAGCTGTTTGTCAAGGAGTTCTGGTGAGAACCAGGTTATTGAGATGACTTTGTGTCCTCCTTGGCCCAAAGCCCTACCAGCCTCTGCTCTGCACCAGGGCAGTGCAATGCTCCCCAACTTCAGGGAGCAGTAACGTTCTTCAGAACAATCACGCTCATTCATAGTGAGCGCCACGCTCCTTTCAGTTGG